ATGTGCTTGCTAGGAACTGAAAATGACTTAATGGCACATAATCAATCAATCATACTAATCAAATCATATAGCAATAAACTGAAGCACAACTGAAAGCAGTATCAGTAGTTCTTACTTCAAGAACTGACAGGCTTGTCCATTTCAAATAAATAGGGCCTTCAATCAAACTATCGTATAAAATAAATCTCTGGCTGTAAATTCAAATTTGGAAGCAAATGATATCACAGTGGCATGCCTTGACTAGTCCAGCAAAATCTTTTAATTTATACCTTATGCAGGAATAAAGAGCTGCCAAGTTTTTAATCAACTCTTTGTCCTGTGCCTCCAATGAAAGCTTGATCTCAAATATTAGCAGGATGCATTCATAACATTTACCTCCATGACTTGAAAAGCTGGTTGAAAGGGCGATTTTTGTATGTTATTTCTGAGCATGTGGCAATTCTTTCTACTGAAACTTTGTAAGGGTCAGAGCGTATAAACTCAGTTTGTTGGATGGCTCCAGAGACATCCACAGAGCATTAGAAATTAGGAATTTATTTTTTCAACTTTAATGTGACCCTTTAGCAATATTTAAGTTGTACAAAAATGAAATATGTAAAATGTTTTAAGATAGTTGACATACATTAAATCCTATAGAACAACAATGAGCACATCTTAAATAGCCAGAAGGCAAAATTAAATGAATGCAAACTTAATTTCCCAAATATCTCTGCTTAAATGTAACCCATATAACTGCTTTATCAAACCTGTTACATTCAGCTTGCTACCTTCCTCTGCAATTGTATTCAACCTCTTTCTTTAATCATCTCCAGTGTTCCAGATAGTCCCATGATTTTGCTGGATGTGTATCCTATACTATGCTACCCTGTATTTTATTTGCTTTCTTAACTGCTGCCACACGTCAAGACTGTTTTAAATCTCCTTTACAATGGAACTAAAAATCCACCATAAATGTATGCCAGGGCAATCAGAACTGAAGTGCAAACTTCAGATGGCCACTAGAGGGCAGCAAATATATTCAGAAAACTTTCTTAGCTGCCCTCTAGTGGTCTTCTGGTATGGCTAATATGTATGTTGGGTGCACGTTCATCCCCATCTATTTGCTTAGCTTTGTATTCTGTGAGTAAGCTCTTTTTTTTTAAAAAAAAGCATGGATTCATGCCCAAATGTGGGACTTTATGCATGTGACTGTATGCCATACATATGCACACGCACAGACCTAATCTTTTATGTACTTACCCCTTTATGTGCCACCTTTCCCCAAAATAACTCAGAGCTGATACCGAACCCTCACAACCCCCTGTAGAGCAGCTCAAGCTGAGAAAGATTAACTTGGTTAAGGCCACACAGCACGTTGCTTGTAAATTTCCCACCTCTAAAATCATTGGCCATTATCCAGTTAAGTTATTTTAACTACCTTTTATTGAAGAAATCACTAAGGCCTACAGTAATGTGCTTGTTTGCAGTTTAGGCTGTTGGGTGAACACAGCCCAAATTGCAAGCAAGCAAAGTACGATAGCTCATAGAAACCTACTACAGTAAGAAGCAATCATTCACCCAAAGAAAAGAGGAGATGCATTTGCAAGTTTATGCAATGTAGTAGATGCCTGATTGCTGTCTGTTGACAGCGGCTTCAGTCATAGCTCCTCCCTTTCCTTCTGAGTACTCTTGATCTTGAAATGGGAGTGGAGCAGACTTGGTTTTGCTAAACGATGTCCATCTAATCCATTTCACACAGTGGGTGCCGGGGCATCTGCAGGATGTGGTGAAAATGGCCAAGTCGGTGGCTGCAGCGGTGCAATCAAAGGTCTGCCTGTTTTTTATCTGCAGACACCCCTGGTGGGACGGGGCGAGGGGGTTTAAACATATATAGAATACTTCTTCAAGGCTCCAGTCCCTTTTGGTGCCATAATGGAATCTCCCGACTTTCTCTTCTGGCTGGCTAAACAAAGGAACGTCCCCCTCAGTGAATGGGCGACTGTTTGAAGGTAGTGATGGTGAATGAATATCCAACAGCATGTCTTTCCTGCCTTCCCACGTCATGCTTGCTCTGGCACGGTCAAAGCCATCTCTGCAGGCCAAAAGAGAGAGGCAGTGCTTCCCCCATCTCATCCTCCAAATGGCATTTTCTTCCAGGTGGTAGGAGGTGAAAGTTGGCTTCGCACCACTGCTGACCCATCAACGATATTTATGTATGTATGTATGTATGTATGTATATTTCAAATTTAGTCACCGCCCATCTCACTCAGCGAGTGATTCTGGGTGGTTTACAATAAGATAAGAATAAAAACCAATTTAAAATACAATAAAAGCAGTAATAAAAAATAAATAATAATCCAAGGGGTAGATGGCATAAATAAATTATCAACCTCTGGGACCGTCTTCAGGGTGCTAATCACCCCCAGGGCTCATTACCTCCCCTCGAGCCCCATGCGAGCTAGCAGAGCCAGGTCTTCACCCCATGTCCAGAAGGCCAGGAAAGTGGGGGCCCACCTCACCACTCGGGGGAGAGTGTTCCCTGGGGCAGAAGCAACGCAGAGAAGGCTCTTTCTGCGACCCATTAAATGACATTCTTTAATCGACGGGGTCTGTAACATGGCTTCCCTGCCTGCCCGGGTGGGACAGGTCAAAGTAATGGGATGAGATGGTCCCTCAGATAACCTGGTCCCGTGCCATGTAGGGCTTTAGAGGTGATGACCAACACCTTAAATTGGATCTGGAAACAGACTGGCATCCAATGCAGCTCCTGCAGCAAAGGCGTTTCATGCGCCATCCTTGGGGCACCCAAAATTGCCCATGCAGCCGCATTCTGAACCAGCTGTAGCTTCTGGATGCTTTTCAAGGGTAGCCCCATGTAGACTGCATTGCAATAGTCTATACAGGACATGACTATTTATGCCTGTTTTGTGGGTAAGGATGGCTGGGTGGAAGCAACAAGTTGATGTTAAAAATAACGTTGATTTATTTGATTTATATATCACCTTTCACCCAGAAACTCAAGCTGGTGAACATAGTGGTCCTTCCTATTTTTTTTTTTTCTCAAACAAGAACCCAGCATGAGGTAGTTTGGACTGAGAAAGAATGCTTGGCTCTAAATCAGTGTTTTTCGACCTTGGGAACTTTAAAATGTGTGGACTTCAACTCCCAGAATTCCCCAGCCAGCATAGCTGGCTGGGGAATTCTCGGAATTGAAGTCCACACATCTTAAAGTTCTCAAGGTTGAGAAACACTGCTCCAGACGGTCACTCATGTTTTGATCATCTCACATATGGACTATTGTGAAGTGCTCCCCTCAAACACTACTTGGAAGCTGCAGTTGGTCCAGAATAGGGCAGTGTGGGTAGTGATGGGAATATTGCATTATGCTCACATCTTCCCACTCCTCCGCAAACTGCGATTGCCATGTGGCTTCCGTGTGCAATTCAAGGTGCTGGTTACCCCCCAAAAAGCCCTTTGTGCCATAGGGCCTGGTTATCTGAGAGAAAGCCCATCTCCAATAATTTGTGCCTGTCCTATACGATTTGTGCTCTGGGTCCCATGGATTGAACAATATTGTTAGGACCAGGAAGTGTGACTTTTCTGTCGCAGCACCTGCCCTCTGGAACGGCACCCCCAAGAGATCCTGTATGGCTCCCACCATAACAAAGTTCTTGAGAACATAGTTGATCCCCCAGGCTCTGGGTTAGGATGGGTGTTTATCTGCTTGAGGAACTGCTTTTCTGGTTTTGTGTGTGTGTGTATTTTGTTTTGCTATTTTTATTCTTGTATGCTGCCCAGAGCTTGATGAAGTTGGACTGCCTTCTAGATTCAATAAACAAACAAAAAAGGTAAGCATTGGAGGCTTAGGCAACATGTAAATCTCAAAGTACAAGTAACAAGCATCTTCCCATGTTATGCTTCTGCTGCAGGATCTGAGGTATGTCATTCAAACAGAAGAGCTGCCATGTTTTGGTGAGAGCCCATTCAAATGTTCTGTGAGTGCCCAGGAAAGCCATGATCTCTCAGCTATCCTCATCTGCAACATGGACATAATACTAATTTACCTTAAGAATATAAGAACCACACTGGACTCGATGCTTCCACAATAGCCAACCAGAGGCAAACTGCATACAATTCTGGAGTTAATTAGCCACCAGGATTTGTAGCATCTGACATCCCATTCTCTGTCTAAATTAAAAACCATCATCCCTAGATACAATCCAATGTGCACTTCCGTGGGAGAAATCCTTTTGGATTTAAACATCTTTTGACCAGATTTATTATTTCTGCCGATATAGCAGATGAGGGAACTCATCTGCAGCATCCCCTTTCGGGCCGTAACATCTACTGCACTTTTAGCGATCTCCAAGGGGCAAATCGACATATAATGCAAATTAAGACGTTTGCAAGAGATTCCCAGAAAAGCACTAAGCCACAAAGCTGCAGTTGGCTGTTGCAGCAAACCCAAATGGGTCAAGAACAGCACCATACACCTGTTCACACGCAGCTAAGGTTGATGCGTGTAAGCGTATACAATTACGCGAATTGCTCGCTTTTTCTACACAGGTTTCCCGTTGTAAAAATTGTGCATCCTAACAACCGGAACTGGATCGGTCGTGGGAAAGATCATGGAACTTCCTATCAGTTCAATTCGGGTTTGAATCAAGATATTCGAAATGGCAAGCCTAACTTTGCTCCTGATTAACGGGTGAAGGGCTCTAGGTTTAAAGGTTACAGCAGCAACGTGTTGACCTCCAGCTGGGCCTCGAGAAACTGCATGGAAGGCAAGCACGGTCTTCGGTCGTCGTCACAAAAAACGCCTTTTATAAGGTCGGAGGGGGCTGCCACCCCGGCGCTCCCGCGGCCTGCAGCTCTGACCTTCCCCAGGCGGGGGAGCGCGTCGTGCAAAAGCGAGCCCGTTCCGGCGCAACCACTGTGGGAGGGAAATGCTTCTCTCCGCCCCGAAGCTGGGAGATGGAACAACCCAACGTGGCCCCGCCCCCTCCCCGCAGAACCCGGAAGTGGCGCCCGCAGGCGGGAGCGGCGCCCCTGAGCGTGTTCTTGCTGCTCTATGGGGGCATTGAGTGGGGCTGGCGCGATGGGAGCGGCTGTGGCGGCCTTTTACGTGACAGCTGCGCCCCACTCCGCGCTCGGGGGAGATTCGGGTAAAGTATCAAGATCCGGCCTCATGCCCTGCCTGTTTTCTCGCGGATATCCCCCGCCCCTAAGTTGTACTGCATGCTTTTGCATATTCTAATTTATGGTAATATCAACCCATTGGCAGTTGTATACTGTATATCGTTTTTCTCTGTGCCTCTCTTCTAGCAACGGGAGGCTCGCTTTTGCAAGGTGGTATTGGATTTAAAAAAAACCCAGCACTCGATTTGTTAAAAAAAATAAACATGGATTACTCTTGTGGCGGAATTTTAATCTTCATTTTTGTGATACAGTGGATCCCATGTTGTGGATTGGGGAGAATCTGGAAATTCAGTTCTCCCTTCTTTCGGATGATCACCACGTCAAGGTTGTTTATGAGGATGTAATGAAATGCAGCCCTGCATGCATCTGATAACTGTCCAAACTTAATTGCTTTGCATTGATAACTTGCAGTTGAATAAGTAAATGGGGGGGGGGAGGATATTGAAAAGTTTTTATTTCAAGGTGTCAGATCTGTGGTGACTTGTTTCTATAGTCCTAGGTGGCATCACTTGATGGTGAAGTCATCACAAGCTAGATTTGCATTTGTGCCACTTAAAGTTTCTTGGGCAGTAAAAGTTATTTTAAAGAAAAATAGTTCAAATATATAATAAAATTTCATAAAAGGGTCTGCTCTGCTTATTTAATGGATGCAGAATTGAAGGCAAAAGACTTTATAGATGTGATGCAAAAGGGAAAAAAAACCCATTCTTCCCTTTTAAACAGATATTCACAGGGTACTGATTTTCCTCTGATGGAGATACAGGTGTTTAAACTCATTGAGCAAAAAGATGATTCTGCTGTTTACCCCCTCCCCCCTCCCCGTTATTGTTGTGCACATAGCACATCTGGAATGCACCCAAGACAAGTTTTGATTGGGGAATATGCAAGAAAGTTGATTTATATTTGCAGTTCAACCATTCTGTGACATCTATGGACTACATTAATGAATAATAATAATACTCGCATGGCAAGATTATAGAGGAAAAACCTTCCTGTGTGAGCCAATCTAATGCAAATAAGATGAAGCAGTGGTGGTGTTATTAAATAGTTGTATGTGATTATTAGAATAATGTTTGACTGGCATACTTCTGAAAACTCTCTGGGTGAGAGAGCGCAATTTGCGTATAATATGACAGCGATTTCCCCACAATTGTTGGGGAGGGATTACAGTGTTTCTCTAGGACTGGAGAGGCACGGGTTCAAGTGTGTTCTTAGTTGTGGAAGCTCTCTGGCTGACTTTAGGCTAGTTGCTGTGTCTCATCCCAACTGTCTCCACAGAATTTGGGGGGTGGGAGGAAGAGGAAGAAGGAATACTGTATATGGAATTTTAAGAGCCATATTGAGAAAAGGTAGGATATAATTCCAGCAAGAGATAGTAGGTAGGTAGGTAGATATATGGATAGATGGATAGAGTAGATAAAATCTCCCATCATAGAGTCTGATTTCTTTCTAAACCACTTTCCATGGCTTGGTGTCTTTTGAATGAGCTGGGGAAGGATGAGAACATCTAGAGGCCCTTGTTATGGCAGGCTACTCTTCCCAATTAAGGAAGCTTATGCGAAATAATTACAAAGGAGCAGAATAAGACCAGCACAATTAATAATAATACATCCATTATTCAGAATTACAAAAATAGATACTGTAGAGCAGTGGTTAAAATACTTTAAAAGATCAGCAATACAAAATTGAAAGCTCCAACAAAGCTCCCCCTCAGTTCGAAGTAGCAGCACTCGTTTAAAAGTAGATTTTTTTTTTAAAAAAATAGCCTATTAAAGTTGAATGACATTTTCCAGAACCATGGGAGTAGATGTCAAGTGGTGCAGCAGTTGGAATTTCTTTTCTCCTTCACACAGCATCCTCCAAATATGCTCTGGAACCTTTCCCCAATTTTCTGGTCCACATTTGGAGGGTGTACAAGCTCTTGCAGATGGGGAGAGAGCCCCATTCCATTAGCAGCATCTGTTCTGTTGGTGACTACGGACATACGGACTGTTAAATATAATCTTAGTAAATCTGTATTGAATGTGAAAAGGAATATGACTCAAGAAATGCTCTGTGAGCTTTGACAGTTTTAAGCTAGGGGCAGGCAAGCTGCTACACTCCAGATATTTTGGACACAAATCCCATAATCTCTAACCAGCATGACCAATGGTCAGGGGTAATGGATATGTTTCCTCCAGATTGTTTTGATTATATACCTATATACCCGGACGTATGTGAAGGTGTCCTCTCTTTGGAAAGCTGTCCGATCAAGACCCGTCAAAAAGGAGAGCAGGGATCTTGGCCATTGCCTCTCAGTCTGCAGGCAGGATCAGCAGCAAAGCATACAGGTTACTTATAAGGAGGATATATTTCTATTTACAGTATTGATAATGATAATCATGATGATAATGCACCTTTATCAAGGCACAGTACAAAACAAGCAACCCTCCCCCCCAAATAATTATAAATTGCTCCAATAAAATTTGCCCAGAACTCAGTCATGAATATTACTGCTTCAGCAGTACACTTAAAAAACAGTTGCCTGGGATAAGACTGAGTGTGTACACCTCCATAATAATTTAAAATGGGTGTTAATCTGGACCTGTCAGTGAAATAAGAGTAGGGTGGAATAACCAGATCCTACATTAACCTGCTGATCAAATAAAAAGGTCTTTAACCCCCTTTTAAAGGCCACCAGATTTCCCCAAAGACAAAGGGAGTGGATCCCAGTTTTGTGGGGCCAGATCCCTAAATAAATTTAATGAGCTCATACCTAGATGTGCATCTGTACATACAAATCAATGTGCAAATTTTATGTGAATTAAAATCCTCTTTTCTGCCCCTATTTCCTTTTGCTTTACAGGGTAGAAATATTTATTTGTATTTATTTATTTAGACATCAGATAGCACCCTCTTTTGATTCCCCTGAGCCAATGAGGCAGATTATGAGGTTTTGGCTGTGTGTGAGGAGTGGTTGATTGATTGTACCAATCCTGCATAGCAGCAAAGACCAGAATAACCCTAATAGAGAAAATTCCTGAAGAACAGTGCGCACAGGTTCCTTCAACAGCAGTACAGATCAGGGCTGGAAAAGGGGAAGTAGGGTTGGAAAGAGAGAATATGGTTGCTGTCTCGTTTATGCTGTTTCCCTGTAACTGAAACATTGTTAACAGCATGGGAACTTTTCCCATGTCATGGGATGTTGAACACTAGATCAGTGTTTCTCAACCTCAGCAACTGTAAGATACGTGGACTTCAACTCCCAGAATTCCCCAGCCAGCATGCTGGCTGCCTGGGGAATTCTGGGAGTTGAAGTCCACATATCTTAAAGAGACCGAGCTTGAGAAACACTGCACTAGATGAATTAATAGGCAGGCTGAGCATGGACATTGATGTTTAAGCCTGTCAACCTGATGGGATGTTAAAGAAATAATGTAAAGGGATCAGGGCTGGGGTGGAAAAACTTACCTCTAAAGAAAGCCAACGACTGGAGAAATCCAATAAAACTGATTTATTAAGCTAGCAAAGGAATAAGTGATCACTGAGTCCCCAGCAAACCAAGGCAGGAGTCCTGATGTCAGGGAACACGGATCTTATATAGCTTCCATCACATTAGATCATATTCTAAAGACCGTAGGGTAATCATCAAGGTGAGGAAATGGAAGGTGTCATCTTTGGAAGGTGGGACTGCTTGTTTGGAGAAGAGGGATCACAACACGTAGGCAATGGCTTATCAAAGGTACCGATACCAAGTAAATTAGCTTTCCATAGCATGAGTCTCCATGTTCTATAAACATGGGGAATCCTGTATGAGCTTATTACCTTTGTCCCTGAGTAAATCAGCATAAGTGGAGGACATGTGACATACATCTCAAAGCCTCTTTTAGTCACAGGGAGGAAGATGCATAGTAAAGAATGGGGATCTTGCTAGTGTCGTGAAGATGGCAGTTTGCCCTTGCTTACATATGAGGTGAGAAAAAGGCTGCATAGCAAAGCAAGCAATTTTATGCAGGGTGGGGAACTGCCACAGTCTTCTAGGTTCTGTACAAAATTATTGGGTATGCCTTCTAATGCTACCACAGGACTTGCCTGCATTAGCATGTTCTTCCTGCTCATATTTTATCTGTGACTGGAACCAACATGGTTTTGGGGTGCTTATGTGTGTGTCAGAAAAGTCAAGATGGTGGCTGTGACCATGTGATTTGACCCCTGCCCTTTTTTACATATGTCATGCATGTGACACGTAAAAAGGGACAGAGTTTTGATTGCATGGCTGTGGTGCCATCTTGACATTTTTTCTCTCTCCTGCAGATATCCCTGATGGTTCTTTCTTGGATGTTGGCAGCAATATATCACAATCACAAGCCTACTCCTCTGCAAATATATCTGAATCTAATTCTCTTTTATAGCCCTCCAATTTGTTGGTCATCTTGTAGAAAAGAATTCCATAAACATATGGTATGTCAAGAAGCAGCTTTTTTATGTGTCCTGAATTTTCTACTATTTAGCTCCACTGGATTTCTGATATGTTGAGAATGGAAAGATAACCTCTCTCTATCCCCATTCTCCATAATGTCTAATGTTATGTTCCTTTCCTTAGTCACCTTTACTTTCAAGCTACTAAACCAGGGTTGTAACTTTTCTTCATGTGGAACTCTACTTTTTATAGTCCTTTTTTGCAAATAGAACCGTATAGGATATTTTAAGAATGGTAGTGCATGATGCTGTATAAAGCGTACGTCTTCCAACTTAGTGTCCTCTACATAGTTGGGATTTCTAATAGTTGGATACACACTGTTATGCTATTAGTGGTTTCATTTTGGATTTCCTTCTGAAGGAAGGAGTTTCTATGTTTGAACATTAGTATTTTCTCTAAGCTATGCATCACAACCCCAGTATTCCTTTACTGGCCAGTTTTTGCCAGTTGAATCCTTCAACATTAGGATATGTTACCCCATATGGTATCCATCACATTATACTTGCT